CCCCACACCACTTGTCGAGTCGCTTCACCTCGATCTCCTTGAGGGCCAGCACGAGGTTCTTGCGGGCGGCCTCGCGAGTCGCTCCGGAGGCGAAGAGGTGCCCGAACTGGCTGTCGGCGAACTCGTGGATGCCGCCGTTGGCCCCGACGGAGAAGTAACCCCACACGCTGGACGTCGACTGGAACTTCACTCGCTCGATCGTGCCCGAGGTGGGCTTGAAGCCCTGCTCTCGCGCGAGCGACGGTGCGGCACAAAGGAACAACAACGACAAAAACACGACACACCCGAAACACACACAGACATACATACGAAAGTTCTTCACACTGCGCGTGTTTTTTTCAGCACAAACCAAAAAACAAACAACACACATAAAAGTACACAACTAAAACATATACTTACTTCTCTACCTTGGGCGTGTTGTCATCTAGTGCAATCGACCCACTGCGCGCGACTGACTTCCGCCGTTTGGACATTTGGGTTTCAACAAGCGTGTTTGAGCGGTCTATGGTGTAGAATTCCCCCCTCGAGAGCCACGCACCCGCCACATCACACTACCCAACACCTTACGCAACTGAGCAGTGCCCTGTTCCGCAAAGATGCGTGCATACGCCAATAAGTGGACGAGCGTTGGCTCCCCCCGCGAAACTTTTTGCTACCCTCACTAGCCTGGGTGGGCAAAAAAACCCGACAAATTATTCTGTCTCGGCATTCCAGGGGTGCGAGGTCATTTGTCGAACAACAAATAGGGCATATGCGATTCATTCCACGAGTGTAACCCCACCCTTGTAGCAAAACCGCAAAAAGTGCCCCTTCTCACCTCGTCCGGGTTTTCTGCGGTAATGCGGGCCGCGATGATGTGGTTGCGGATGGGAGCGTAGTCCTCGGTCATGAAGTCGATGGCATCGTGGCCGTACCGGTCCGCCTTGCCGTAGAACCCGCGGATGTCGGGGATCTCGTTCAGGGGGATGCCCATCGCCACCTGAACCGTGCCAGTGGGGTGGGGTGGGGTGGGGTGGGGTGGGGT